CCCTAAGGAGATACACCAAATGAAAGCAATTTTAATTTCTACTACAAGCTGAAAGCATCAGTTCCAGTAAGCAGTCCTCGGATGTAGGCCAATACAACACTAATGAAGAAATTACCAGCAGTGAAACCTGATATTGAGTTTTGACTGCCTCAAGAACTTGAAAATTGCCCCAAGTGAGACTGGATGAAAAAACAAGCAATTTTCTTTTGAAACATGATTCAGATTGCTTCTATGGAAAGTCTAAAGTCAGAGTGTACTTTCCAGGTCCTATGTTTACCTGCAATTTTTTTCTCTTTAAATGCAAGCATCCCTGCAATGGCATGACCATATAAACTGAGGCATTATTAAAAGAAAATAATCATTGCCATAAAAATTCAAAACCTGATCACATTGTGGCCCCTATGAGAAAAGCAAGTGTTCTAAAAGAAAAAAACATCTGAGTTGGTAAGGCTTCTTTTTGCTGGGTTTCAGTATCACAAAGATAGCCATGCAGAACAATATATCAGCCCATCTGAAAAAATAAACAAGAAGCTATAAAAAAATGTATCTTTTCTATTATTTTAAGCTTTCTCACAACTTAGCTCAAGATATCACCAATACCAGTGGTAGAAAAATTAAACTCTTCTCCAGAGAAATAGCATTAGTGAATTAAACCTTTGTCCAGAGAAATAGCTTTAATGAATATCAATAAAAGGAAAATGGAAACCAAGAAGGTTAGTTAAAATTACTAGATTTTTTATTATTATGATATATTTACAAATCTTCTATATTTTGAAAGCAAAATATTTTTTATTTTAGTGCTAAGAAATAAAGACATTTCAAACAGAAAATACCTGAGTTTTTTCATGTAAACATATACAGGGCTTTGACCTTTGGAACTTTGAGAAACAGTCCTGGTTTATAAATACAGTGAGTTGGAATAAGTAGCTGTGTAGTGAGTAATACCATTATCTCATCAAGAAAACTCCTCACGTAGAAAGATTAAGGATATACAGAAATGTTTATAGGGTCAGGATTTAAGAGCAAGTGATCAGTGCAATGGAAATCCCTAAACCAAAGCGAAAAGGCTGCAAATATTTGATCCAGGAATTACACAGCCTTTTGCATTCGCTGACTAATAACTAGACATCAGCCTTGTGTAACAACTATCACAAGTATCTTCATAGTCCTTATTTTACAAGTGGTAAAGATCCAGTGGAGAAGGCAGTACTTGTTCTGGTTTATGTCTGGCTCAGAGAAGTGGAATGGCTGTGTGTGCTCCAAGGTAAGGAAAGGGCTTTGAAACAAAATATAAACAAACAAAAAACAAATAAACAAAGCCTGAACAAACCTTCCATCAGTCTTTGCTTCTCAATTAGCTGGCTGGTGGTGCTCCAGGGAAACTATCTAAATGCTAGCTACCTAGTCAAGGCTGTTATTTCGGTTCTCCTTGTAGGTGATGAGCAGACATGCAGCAGCCTTCCTGCTGGACTGGAATACATAAGCTTGGGACAAGAGACAGCCTTACAGGTGTTGTCTCTCTCTGCACTGATTATAACTGGGTGAGTGACTCAGAAAGGACACTACAGGGCAGCTAAAACCAAGCTGAAGGAGTTTCTGCTCTTACTAAACAAGTTTTGACCTTGGATTCTTCACAGTTGACAGCAGCCATGGAGCCCTTCAGAGCCTTTGGAGGCATCTCCTGATCAATGAGGCACAATGAGCTCAAAGCTTCTGCCCAAAGGCACACAAGTGTCTTCAAGTGTTCTGTTTTCAGGAGCATCCAGAGCTTAAGAACAACCTCTTTAAACATGGGTTGTATGTCAAAAATGTGATATGATCTTGGACATCTGGCAAGTATATGTATATGTTTAATTGAGAGAATAAACATTCCTCAAAAATCAGAGTCCTGAGACTGCAACCTTGACTTTAACCTTTTGGCTTTCCTCACATACCAGTAAATGCAATCTATCACACATACCACATCAGAGTCTACTCCAAAAAAACTGGAACAGATCACAGTTCTATGAGTCTAAAAAAAAATATTTGTGATAGGATTTAGAAATGTAAGATTACATTGTAATCCTCTCTTCAAAAAGAAAAATGAAAAGCTGAGGAAAAAAAAAAGAGAAGCAAATTATTCCTGCTGAGGCATATGAAAACTAGAAGAATTTAATTTTCTGGTCTGTTTGTCCTAGCATGCTTCTCTAGGCTTGTCATCAGTTCCACTGGAACACAGGGAATGTAAAAGATATTTTAATACAAATTACTGAATTTGATTCATTCCATTCTCCTTATAAAATTGTCTGCTGTAAAATTATGTCTAATGTGAAACAGTTATAATTTGCTTGCTACTCACTGTATTAATACCTATTAAAACTGACCACAGTAGCATGCACCCAGTTGTTGCAACATGCAATAACCCACAAGATTTATTTCAATGTGTCTGGGGAGTGCCAAAGCATGAAAACATATTGAAATTTAAAAGGTCTAATGTAATTATTATATAGATCCTTGAGAAAACTGCAAGTCAACTTGGAATAGTACAGTCAGCTATTTCTAAATATCACAGACCTCTTAAAAATCTATTTTTGTGATGTTTTCTACATGAGTTGCACCTGTCACAGGATTTTTAAACCTCAATTCAAGACATACAGTGCCCATAGACCTGTTTAAGCACTGGAAGTTTCACAACATGAAACAAATTAATTTCAGAAAACACATCTATAAGCTGCACTAAAGTCACCTTACAAAAAGCCCTTACGAGTGGTGTGTTTATCATCAGTATTAATTAAAGCCTGGAATCTGACCCTGGAGTTAGAGACTATCCCAATGCTGGCTGCAGATCAGTCCATCTAGCAAAACAAACCCTCTAAGCAATACCACATGGAAGACCAATGGTCTCCGGTAGGATTGGCCTTTGGTGATAAGATCAGTGGGGAGGCAAACATCACAAACAATATTTCAGTGCTTTGATACTCTGGTGATAGGCACTATAAAAAACCTCAGACAGTTTGTACCAACCTACACTCACCACATATGGCAAAGTGCCAGCTCAGCCCTTTCTCTTGATGGACAGAAGCAATGCTGGGATGGTTTTTCCTTCCACAAAATAGCAAATGGTGGACAGGGGTTCATGACAGTGAGGTGACAAAGTGACAAGAGCATTTTCTTCCTAAAGGAGTCGCAGCATCTGCTCATAGGAGGATGAAAATGGCAACCACAAAGTGAGCAAACCAGTCAATAAAGATTATTGTGGGCCTGCTAGCATGCAGAGTGCTAAAAATTTGCAAACTTCAATCCTTCCTGTGTATAATGTGTAGATCAAACTACCTCTTACTGCTTCCAGCTGTGGGAGGCTGAACATATGCAGCAGGAAACCTGCAGCTGCGTGGAAAGGGAAGAAGGCACCCAGATGGTGTGTGCACAGATGGAGCAAGCCTGTGCTGACAGCTCTGCCCCTCATCCAGCACCAGATGACACACGGGAGCTGCTGGGGAGAGGGACAGCTGTGTGGGGACACCACAGTGCCCCCATGTTGTGTGGGGTTCATATAGGCCTCATTTTGTTGAATTTGGAGGTATCCTGACCTTGGTCTGGCCTTCTGTCCTGGGGGCCTTATGGAGCACTTGCTCAGGGGAGCTGTGGTGAGGCATACGGGGCGGATGAGGCTTAGCCAGAGGAAACCACGTAAATCTCAGCAGTGGCTAATTTGTGGCTTCATCCACAAATCATCTAGCCAGACAAGGGCAACCTACTTCCAATGCAAGGTTGTAAACACATATATGTTTCCTAATCCCCCTGTTCTGTCTGAACCCAGAAAGCATTTACTAGCCTGCCTGGAAAGTCTCCTCTGCACATAGTAGCTCCTAAAAAAGGTCTGGTTTAAGACTGTAATTCCAGAACATCACAGAATCATCTATTTGCACCAGAGGGAGCACCTGTAGAGACTCAGGTCTGGCTCTCTGAAGGAGGATCACCCTGCTCTTCTCTAGGACTTTCCCCATCGGCTTTCTTCAGTACCAGTCAGCTTACTGGCCACTGAAGATCCCACTCTTTGCTCAGCAGATGTAGGGCCTGTCTGAGTGAAGGGGACCCTAAACATGAGAAAATGCAGCACCCAGGACCTTCTGCCAGCACTTCAGTCCTAAAAACCTTGCCTGTGGGAGCACATAATAATGAGTGTCCTTCCCCGACTTGTTGGCAACATGCTATGTTAATGTGATAGAGCAGAATAGAGGACTGACGAGAATAGGAAATGCAGGGATACAGGGAATGAAAATAAGAGCACGAGGTGGGAGAAATTCTGCTATTAACACGAATAAATTGTGTCCATTGCTGTCATCAAAATGAGGACATTGGGCAAAGGATGGGCTTCACTTCGCTTACACAGCACAGATCTTCAGAGTAGGGTGACCACACCCAAACAGTTTGAGGAGAGGGGTCAGTATTCCATGCTAACCCCCAAAAGGGAGAGTGTTTGAGATACTGGTGTTTGGGCTGCACTGAAAATCTGCCAGGAAGAGCAATGACACATTAACAATATACACAGCTGAGTCTCAGGGCCCAGATACATGCCCTGGCACTGTTCAGTTTGTTGTCACGTGCTTTGCCTTTGAGATCTGGTCACCCTGTGGATTAGGTGAGTGTTGTACCACTGCAATGTGTTAAATGTTACATTTCAAAATACAGTCTTCTGAATATTGTTGCAGGAGGCAAAACAAAAGGAGCAGTGGCTTCCGAAACTATATCAAACACAAAAGCACTTGTATAATCTCTGGCAGTAAGACATCATCATTTCTTCACATAGAGTCACAGAGAAGTCACTCTGATTAAGTAAGCATTAAAAGAGCAATTTAATTACCTGGCAAACCTAACAGTGGATGGAACATATTCCCTTTGAGCAACATTCTTGACACGTTCTCTTAGCAAGGACATAAGTAGTCCCTGATTTTGTTGTGAAAAAACCCCAAAACTGTAAGGGGAAGAGAATATAACATGTAGTGAGATAGAAACTGCCATTCAGATCAGTCAAATGCCTTCTGCAATCTTTTTTTCTGCCTGACTGCTGTTAGCACAGGTGCTTTGAAGAAAGGTGCAAACACAATGTACCACTATGCAATGACATGCCCATGGAACAGTATCTGCTTAGCTCTAAGCATGAATTATGTCCCAGAGCATGACAGTTTATTGCAGATTGTGTGACTGCTACATTTTTATCCTAGCTTGTATAAGAGTAGATGGGATGATTCATACACGTCATTTGGTGCTGCTTTTAGCATTTGTGAGGAGATGCTCACTGTTCCCTCTTACTCCCTTGACTGATTTTTACCACTCCAGTTACCACAGGGCTAGAGACAGAAGCAGGTGCTCTGGCTTCAGCTTATAATCACAACTACATTCGGGCAATTTCTTCCAGACTTCAAATATCAGGAGCTGCAAAGGGAGCTACATGGCATTAGCAAGGCCAGCCTTGTTTTCTAAATACTTGGCTTGCAGGTTCAGCCAGACTTTATTTCTGTTTGTGTTGTGGCATGACACCTTGTGACTTTGATTTAAGTGGGGGAGTAGGTGAGGGCTTTGGTGACTTTCCACTGGCTGGAGATTTCCCATCAGGAAGCCAAGTTCACCTGCTGGCTTTTGCTGTGAGCCTCCAGGCACCTCCAGGCTGTTGCTTATTGACTTTGAGGCCTTTCTTGCCTCATATGTGGGTTAAGCAATGACATTCCTCTGTTCCTGCCACCTCCTCTTACCCAGAGAGGCACACAGCTCTCAAGGCCCATTGATGTGGTCCCATCAATCCATCATCATGTAATGTGGTGTGGGCCCTGACACCTCCTCCCACCCCTCATGCCAGCCTCCTCACTGGAATTGCAGACCTTGTTTCCATTTGCAAGCTTGGATCTCTGAGGAAGGAAGAAATGCTTTATGAGTCATCACCCTCAAGAGCTTTACACTTTGAGATGTAAATGTAGGAGGATATTGTTCAGAGGTCTCTCAGTTTGCTCTAAAAGCCTGCAAAATCTAGTGTAGAAACCAAAATTATGAATTTCTCTATTTGGCTATGTGGAAATGATTATCGCAAAATGCTGATACCTGCAGAACTTTCCATGCAATTTCCACAGTTAGGAAACAGCAAACACAAGGTCCCTCAGCCCTAAGCTGACTCAAGAAATGAGTTTCCATTTACCATTGTATGCTCTGTTCTTGCTGGTGCCAGGTAACTCTAAGCAAGTTGTCTACAATAGCAAATACTTACATAAGTATAAATGACATGTTTTCACAAAGGGTTCCAACATATTGGTTACATCAGAAGGGGAAATAAGTGAAAAAGATGACAAGAATATAGTTCTTAAATGGCTTGTAGCAAAGGGAAAGTTCCGCTCCTAATCTTTAGTGGAACTATCTTGTAAAATTATGCTCTTGGGTCCCATTTTGCCTACAGATTGGAGCACTAAAGATGCCACACCAGGGGCCAAGAGCATTACCAAACAAGCACAAGTACTCCACCCTTGGAAGATGTGTAAATACAGTATTCCAAACCCATCTGACAGCCCTCCAAAACCACTACAGGAAAGGAGGTATTAATAACTGCTGCTAACATCCAGAAAGAGTAAACTGGGATTTCTTCTGGGTGATGGCTGGTGTCTAAGACCATCTCAACAATTCCTACTGTGACCAAAGTTGGAAAGAATTGGAGGCTTAGTTTTCCTCATTTCCTAGGAAATGAGGAAAACTAAGTCAATTCCAAACACTGAATTTAATCCCTGAAATATTAGGAGTTTAAACAAAACAATAGTTGTTTGTCTTTTGATCCGGACTTGTAGACATTGCTTGGTTGACTTGTTGGACAATGCTACTTCAGCTAAGAATATCCATTCCTTTTTCTTTTGGGGAATTGTTA